ACTACCAAATACATCACAAGAGCATATGAGTTTCACACTTTATTGCTCCAATCCCCTTGTCGAAGATTTTCTCAGTCTCTGGCTTTGTTTCCCTCTTGTGCTATAATAATGAGACTACCTATTATTTTACCATAGAGATTATCTGGGCTCATTTCAAAAGTACATAAAAACATTTCCTAAGCCTGCACCACTTTGGATATTAACTGGAAATCATATAGCAATGAAATCAACAAGCACTTTAATAATGTGGAAAAAAAAGTTGATGGGAGTACTTAGTGAGAAAAGAAGAAAAATTATGAGCTACAGTGCTTGTTGGTAAAAGGTTTCTTTTTTTCTTTTCTTTTTTTAAATCAGAAAATGAGTATTTTTTAGGTAGGAGCTGTTTTTACCTTGACATGTTTCGACTGTCACTTCAGTCTTCCTCAGAAACGTCACTGACGTCTGTTGTGACGTGTCTTCATCAGCTGGTGGTTTCCTGGAGGTGTGACCCGCCTGACGGGCCACATCGTGGACTGGGACAACGCAAAGATCATCGGATCGGAGAAGAACAAATTTAAACGCTGGATCAAGGAGGCCATAGAAAATCAGGAGGCGAGCCAAAGACACCATGAACCGTGATGAGCAGGTATTCGTTCTGTCCCACACATGGGATGCTCTCCTGCAGAGACCACCGGAAGAGGCGTGGCCCGTCGGGCAGATCTGACAGATTGCCAGGCGGGTCAGGCCTCCAGGAAACCACCAGCTGATAAAGACACGTCACCACAGACATCAGTGACGTTTCTGAGGAAGACTGAAGTGACAGTCGAAACACTGTCAAGATAAAAACAGCTCCTATCTAAAAAATACCCACTGTCTGATTTAAAAAAAAGAAAAAAGAAACCTTATACCAACAAGCACTGTAGCTCATCATTTTTCTTCTTTTCTCACTAAACGTACTCCCATCAACTTTGTTTAAAAAAAAAAAAAAAACTGTAACAACTAGTTTTGAGTGAGAAGCCTCTGCTAAAATGTGCATTACCTGCTAAGAGCTATAACATTATATTTTGTCAAATTGCTATCACTCAAAATATGCTAACGAACCTTTGCCAAGTTTGTAACAGCAGCCTTATACAACAATCACCGCATTACTTCGAAACTGAAGAAAAACTAAAAGCTTGATCATTCTGTAGCAGGTTCTGGAGATATGACTGAATCTATGAAGGATACATTTATTCACCATGGACATCAGAGATAACGGGTCCCTTAGAAAATGTGAGCCATCCTGAATGTTAAAATGTGCATCATGTCTGCATGTTCAGATTGAACTGTGGTATGACTCTGAGAGGAGTGGTAGTGTAACAACCAGGTGTTAAATGCCACTGCTGTCATTTCAACTGCCTATCAAATCAATTTTCAGCAACCTCCTGTTGTTTTTAAGATCTCCTGCATGTCCCTGTCCTGCATACTTGCACAACTTTGAATTACGGTTATTTTATTAACTTAAGCATGAATACTATCACAAACCTTACCAATCCAATAATATATAATAGATATTTAAACAAGTGGTGGGCCGAAAATAAAGAAAATCATCTAATTCATTAGAGGCTTTGCAACTAATTAATCGCGATTAATCACGTTTTTATTAAACAGCAATATTTGACGCAATAAGCAAAGTTTTTCAATTCAAATACATTTTGGTTGACGACTGAGTTAATAAATAAACATACAAATAAACTAAAACAACAAAATTGTTTACTTTTCATCTATATTTATCTGTGAATTTTTCATCTGTCTACTACAGTCACAGATTAGTGCAAACTCAAAGTGCAATTGTAGCCATTATATTCAACATTTGAAGACTTTTTGTCGTAGAACTCTTTGTTGCACAATTTGCACACAACCATGCTCTTATTGAAGCTACCTCATGGTACATGTCCACAGGATCCATCAATTTCTCACTTTCTATTCACTGTGTATGTGAAACACCCTGCATCGTGTTCTGGAGCGTCATGGGGAGTTTCAAAAAACGAGGTGTAGCGTCACCTTCAAGCTCATTTGCACAAAGTGAACTGGACTTCCACTTTATGCAAATTTGGCAAATTTTGGCTAAATCGCCTCTGTGGACATGTGGCATTAGATCTTAATAAGACAAATAAACTTTCTGCCCAACAAGTAAAAAACAAACAAACAAAAAAACCCAAAAAATGTTCCGTCCAACAAACCAAGCAATGTGGTCTCATCTTCCATCACTGTTCACCAAACTTTATTGTGCACTGACGTCACTCAATGCATCCTGTGAAACTTCTGTGTGGCTGGCAAACTTTAGGTGCACCGGCTAGAGTGTGTGCATCAGTGTTAGCAGTGTGCCAGATATTAGTGAACTGGAAGAGGTTCAATT